GAGTCAAAAAATTGTGATGGAAGGAGATTTGATTTTAGGTGGTGAACACACAATGTGACACACATATGACTTATTACTGAATTGTACATTTGAAACTTATGTGATTTTATTTGTCAATGTCACTCCAATAAATTTAATTAAAAACACAGGTCTAAGGAGTGAAATAAGTCAGAGAAAGTCAAATACAATCTGATGTAATTTATATGTGAAATCTACAAAATAATTTTAAAAAATACATTTTTATACATTAAAATATGCTAAATATTTTGTCTAAAGAACATGTTTCCCACAGAAAGGATACTTGACAAATGTTTCCACAGTCACAGGCAGATCTATGCTTAAAAAGTTGAAACGTGGAATAAAACCAGTTATGCTTACTAAAAGAGAAAAACAGTATTATTCATACCTAAGTCACAGCATTATGAATGTTATCAACATTGAGCCAGTCATTCTAAAAATCATCAAATATTGAGCTAGCCATTTAAAATGGGTGAGGAAGCCCATCCCAAACATACAGGCAGGCCATTTGGCTCCCATTTAAAAACAATCATTATCTTAGAACATCTAACACAAAAGTGTAATGCACAAATTCAAACCTGTGTATATGCCTATTTTGAGGTTAGAGTAAGAATAAACTGATTGTATACCATACGTGACTACACAATATGGAGAATGAATTTAAAAATGCCCTAGAATTTCCACATGAGTTTTTACTCTTTCAAAGCAGCATAGCTTTTAAATCACATTTACTCAAATTATTATGCCACCTAATATCTTTCTGGCAGGTTATTTTTTTCATTGTTTAAAAAGGATTAAGACTAAGGGGATTATTAAAGTCTCTTCCAGTCTGTAGATTCCATAATCCAGTTTTTATTCAAACATTTAAAAATCCTTACCTTTAATTACATACAGGCCATGGTATAAGTTTCTGAATTACTCTAATTGGTGATATGTTTTTCATTTGTGCTATATTTAATATTTGCAGTCTAGAGCCACTTCGTGTAGTACTAATAAATAAGGAGGGTGACCCAGGCCGTACGCACTGAAAGCCTTTAAAGAAGTAGCATAAAACTCAACTGTCTATCAAGTGATGAAGAGATAAACAAAATCTGGTATATCCATATAATGGAACATTATTCAGTCATTAAAAAAAGTATGAAACAATTTTATGTTAGAATATGAACCCTGAAAACTTAAGTTAAGTAAGATAAGTCTGACACAGAAGGTTGAAGATTACATAATTTCTTTTATATGAAATACCCAGAAGTTAAGTCTACGTATTATGTATTATATATAGTTTGTGTAACTATAGATATATTAAATGCCACTGAACCGTATACTTTAAATGGGTGAATTGTATATGTGAATTGCATTCGAACAATTATTTAAAAATAACAGAAAATGTTATACAACAAAATGAATTAGATTACATGATCTTCAGCCATAAAAAGAAATGATATATATTGTCACTATTAAAATATGGTGGCTCAGGTTTGAAATAATATTTATATAAAATTCATAAATACATGTTACTTTTTGGTCCCATCCTTCATCCCAGTATTTGCTGTAGTAGTCTCTGTCTTTGCCATTGTCTGGGGGAAATAGGAAAAACTTTAATACACAGAATTTATGTGACTTGTCACAAATGATGGTAAAGGAAAATCTGTCACATTCCACAGGCAGGGATGGGCTTCAACTGCATCTGGCTTTATAAATTCAAGAGTGGCCCTATTGCTTAAATTTCATTTAATGCTTGAGAACAAAGTTAATCAGACTTTGATAAATGTTCAAATTAATAAAATCAATACAAGGATCTGCACTGAATGTATAACATTCATATGTGATAATGATTTTCTAAGTCAATCAATATAATTACCTACCTGTATATTGGAGGTTCTGTGGATGTCCTATGTACAATGTATCAATTTGAGGTGGATGTTTCACTTTTATTAAGCGAGTGTGAATTTCCAAAGAAGGCCATATACAGAAGCTTGAACCTTTTTTACAATCTTTATTAGCTCTACAAACTTGGCTATCTTCAACTGCCTTCCGGACAGGCAGACATGTATGCTATAAACAACAACAAAAATACTTAAAAGTGTTTTACAAACAAGAAAAATTCAAGTTACTTTCCTTCAAGATTTTTCATGTTATCTAGCATATTACAAATGTAGGTTATGGTTTAAAAATGACATTTATACGTACCTCCTAAAATTAGATTCCAGTGAGATCTGACCAAATACACTATTATCACTATAAAAATTTAACGTTATCAAAGAAACATAACAGAAATTTGTATAGGGATTTTAATGTGATATAAAGAAACTATTCTATTTTAATTCTATATACTTATTTTATAGTAATTACATAAGACATATACTTATTTTATAATAATTACATAAGACATGCAAAAGTGCTTCATGGACAACTTACCAAATGTTTATTAATATTATTTATGTAGGAAAAGCACATATTTGTGAGGCTGTGATTGTTACAGCATTCAGTGGAACCATCCAGTCGTTTGTATGCTAAAGAGAAATACAGTTGATCTATTAGAATTTGTTCCACAGAAGTATATTTTTATAATTGTTTTCAAGGCAGAATAAGTAAAATGGCATGTGAATTCAGAAACAATTGTGTAAATTAGGTTTGTATTGTTGTATAAAAAGGAATATATTCAATTTCTAATGAAGAAATAATGTTATCTTCTCATAAGCTTACCAGTAAGGCTAGAGTTCTAGGATGTCAGTAGGTTTTACAATACTATCATCTCTTGCTGGTCAACTAATCATATATTATGTATCCATATGCCACCTAACATTGTTATATGCATAAAATATGGTCTGTGGCTCATTTTCAGTAATTATTTTAAAAAACTAACAACTGATACTTAATACCAATTTCTACCAAAAATTATTCAATTTTTCCAACAAATAAGTGGCGTCATTTCCAAAAAAAGGGAGCAAAAATTGTAGTAACTGAAAAGTGACTTAAAAGATATAACCACCAAATGAAACGAGCCAACTCTAAAAAGACAATTAGCAAAAACTGAACACAATATAGAAATCAGGAATTATTATTAATTTTTTTAAGTTTGATAAGAAGACTGCTATGGTTTTAAGAAGTCATCAGACATTGACATTAATGGATAAATATTAGGATGCCTGTTTTAAAATATTCTGAAAAAAATGGGATAATTACATTTAAAGACTGGTAAATTATTGATAATTGTTGAAATAGCAAAATATAACCATGGGTGTTGGTTATATTATTCTCTTTAACTTTTAATCTGTTTAAAAGTTTCTGTAAAAAAATGGTTGTAAAAAAGGGTAATAATTGGAAAAAACCTTTTCAGTTGTTTTTTTCTACTTTACTTTTGCCACACTATACTGTATTCACATTTTATTTTTAATCATAGTTGTTAAACAGTAGATATAGAAAGGAACTGAAGGCATTTCTAAACATAAAGATACAATCTGGGAGTATAATTTATATTTTCCAATAATTTCCATAAAATAAGCTTCCACAATTCTATAGAAACATCTGGGAGGCTAATACATTATGTCTAAAGAAACTGAAAATAAGCCATTGCCATCAAAAAGTCAACACAGATGACTTGAAAGAGCGTCTTTGATGCCATGATGACTTCTTCTAAGATGCTTGTCACTTAAAATGACTGCATTCCAAACGGCTTTGCATGTACCACTGTGCAGCTATTATTGGCAACAGATTGCAATGCTGTCCCCTCGCTTGGTCCAACTTTGTCCATTCATCTTTTTAAAAATCTCCATGAAAGTTCTGGGTTATAATTTATTATATAGTTTTATTTATGCTTGATTTTATCTGTCTAGTTATTGTTAGCATTTTATCTCTTAAAAAATAACCTATGTGAAAACTTTAGTTATATATTTTTGTTATTAATGTACAGATTAAGGTACCATATTAGGGTGCATAGTTAATATAACTATTGGTCAAGATAAGCTGAAAGCTGAGGTCTTTTCAAAGCAAAAACAATTAGACAACAGTGTCCTAAAAGTGAAATAAAATATTGTAGAATTAGTCAGAAGTTCGAAAAATGTAAAGGAACTATATATATGTATGTGTGTGTATATACATATATACCAAGTATATACCATTCTTACCAAGAAGAATGTCAAGTAGTTTGGGCCTTTTATGACTTTACAAATATACTTTAGAAAAAATGTATCCATAAATATAAATGCACACTGATGTGCACTGCTGCATTATTCACAGTGTCCAAGAAATGAAAACAACTGAGTAGTCCTTCAATAGATGTGGTACAGGGGAAAGTGGGCAAAATGGTGTAGATGATAGAAGCTTCATTCATCCCCTTTCGACGACATCAAAGTTGAGACAAAAACACAGAGCAAACAGCAAGCAGAGTCACTGGGGGTCTACATGAGCAGAAGACTTAGAACTAGGGAGAGACATAAGAATCACTCTGTGATGTTTGGAGGTAGCAAAGGTTGAAAATGCGAGGCTGCCTGGTACCAAGTGGCTGTGTGGGACAGAGGCTATGGGACCCTTAGTGCAAATGATGATTCACGGTGACAGACATGTTCGCTCAGAGCACCAGCGCCAGGTCAGCTGCTTGGGGAGCACCAGTAACTTACAGGGGTATACCGATGTGTGGAAGTGAAGGCCGGAGGCCAGGGTCTCTTCCAGGCAGAAGTGTTGGCAGCATTCATTGTTGCTCTGTTGAGCCCTTCTCCCCCTTCTCAGTGTGCAGATGCAGCGCCACTGTGGCTGAGACATCATCAAACTGGGTAACATAGGTCGCTCTGCCCAGAGGACTCCCTGAAAGCCTGCCTCTCCCAATTCACAGCCCCACCCAAGCCACATCCAGGTTTATCTTCAGCGAGTCCAGTGACCTTGCAGAGCAGCACCAAGACTCACACAGATGGCAGTTGATCTTGATTTCTGATATGGCCTCTTGAGGCAACTATCAATACAGCGTGTGTGGATTGCTTGCTGAATCTTAACAGGTGGACACAGAGGGGCACATGCTGGGGATAAACTTGGCTTGCAGCTGATCCCCTTTCAGGACTGTGCCATGGGACGCCTACCACACAAAGCCATGGTAATAAGACCAGGACACTACGAGCTTTGCTTAGTACAGAGAAACAGACATGGAAAGGCAGACAAAATGGGAAGACAAAGAAGCAAAACCATATGAAAGAACAGAACAGAGCTCCAGGAACAACAGAGTGAAGCTATCTAACAGATTCAGAGTTCCAAACACTGGTTATAAAGATGCTCACTGACCTTTGAGGTAGTGTAGATGCATTCACCGGGAACTTTAACAAAGTAATAAAAAAACATAAACATAGAAATAAGAATTATAAAATGAAACCAGTCTGAAATGAAGACACATTATCTGGGATGAAGAGAATATTAGAAGTAATCAACAGGTAAAGGAAGAAAATGAATGAAATACAGATATAGAGGATGGGGAAGCCAAGGATACCCAACCAGAACAGCAAGAAAAAAGTAACCAAGAATATATTAATAATTTAAGAAGCCTATGGGACAAAATTAAGGGTAACAACATTTGTGTCATAGGGATACTTGAAGAGGGAGAAAAAGAAGTTGAATATATATCTGAATAAATAATGATGGAAAACTTTGCTAATCTGGTGAAAGAAATAGGCATAAAACTCGAGGAAGCTCAGACAGTCCCACAAAAAAATGAACCCAAAAAGACCAACACCAAAACACCTTATAATTAAATTGCCAAAAGGTAAAAAACACAGAAAGAATCTTAAAAGCAACAAAATAAAACCAGTTCGTTACCTACGAAGGAGCACCCATGACAGGCAGCTGATTATTCTGTAAAGAAACTTTGCAGAAGGGCTTGACACAAAATATTCAACGAAGTGTTGAAAAGCCAAGATTTACAACCAAGAATACTTTACCCAGCAAGGCTATCATTTAGAGGGAAAGGACAGATAAAGACCTTCCCAGACAAAAATAAGCTAAGGAAATTTATCCACACCAAGCCAGACTGAAAAAAATGCTAGAGGAAGTTCTTTAAAAAGAAAAAAAGATGTATCAAAATCATGAATAAAGGATAGTCATAACTAAATTCCTATTAACAAGTACCTCAAATGAAAGAGAATTAAGTGTTCCAACCAAAGACAGAGTGGCTGAATGGATAAGAAAATAAGACCCTGACATATGCTGCCACACTCACTTCAAATTAAAAAATACACACATACTAAAAGAAAGGGGATGGGAAAATATATTGCCTTGATGGACCTAGAAGGTGTTGTGCTGAATGAAATAAGTCAGATAGAGAAAGACCAATATCACATGATTTCATGTTCATGTGGAATCTAAAGAAGAAAAGAAATAAGAACAAAAATGGAAGTAAACTCATAGATACAGAGGCTATTTTGTGGCCTGCCAGATGGGAGGAAGTTTAGGTAGAATGGTGAAAAAGGGCAAAGAGATTAAGAAGTCCAAATGGATAGTTACAAAATAGACATGGAGATATAAAGTGTAGCATAGGAAAAATAGTTAACAATGTTATAACAGATATTTAAGAGAAAGGGGGTACTAGATTTAGTGGAGAGTACTTTATGAGTTATGTTGATCTCTAATTAATAGGCTGTACAGCTGAAACTAATACATGATTGTATGCCAAATATAATTGAAAAAAATACTCACTGCATTGTCCAATGCAAATATGAGCAACTAATTGTCTATTATGTATCAATAAAGTGAGGAAAAGAAGCTATGGCACATACATACAATGGAATATGACTCAGCCATAAGGAAAGATGAAATCCTGCCATTTGCATAATTTTGGATACTTGGCAACGTGGACGGACTTTGAGACAATCATGCTAAGCAAAATAAGCCAGACAGAATAGTTGAAAACCATACAATTTCACTCACATGTGGGATATAAAACTGAAAGCAAAAAACAACACAAACAGAGACTTACGGACATGGACAGGGCTTTAGTGGTTACTAGTCAGAAGGGGATGAGAGAGGTAGATCAGGGTAAAGGGGGGTCAATATTTGATGATGGAAGATTTGAGTTTGTGTGATGAACACAATGCAATATACATATGACGTATTACTGAATTCTATACTTGAAACTGATATAATTTTATTAATGTCACTCCAAAAAATTTAATAAAATTTCAAAAAAGATAAGAACAAAATAAATCCATAGACATTTCTAAGGATCAAGAAATGGCAAGCATTGCTGCTTGAAGAATTATATTATACTGAGAAAACATACACACCTCTAACTGGGAAGCTTAACTGTTGTAAAGTTGATGTACTTATACAGTAACCAATCTGGGGTTCAGAGGTGATAGTATCTAGACAGTCATTCCAATCTTGCACATTAGTAATGGGACAATCCTGTAGCTGAGTGACAAGGTCTCCCACAAAAAGGCCTCTGGGTCCAATGGCAGGTGAGTCCTTGGTAGGAGAGGAAAACTAAATCAGATAATGTATAAAGACAGGCTAGAATTAGTCTGAACAAATAATAAAGACCTTAATGTAATTAAGTAAGATTTTGTGAATAATGCAGGAAATAACCAGCTAAAGTGGCTTTGAATGGAACACACAGAATGTTAGAAAACTTCGTAATTTTGGATACTTGGCAACTGAAAAAAAATCCGTTTGCTGACTAATTATGTAAAATGATAACAAAGACTGTGTCAGGCTATTAATTTATATACACAAATATTTGGTAAAATTACATATCGTTTTCCCTTGTAACCTCCACCTTATTTCCTAAAAGTGTATAAGACAATCCTTACATAATCTCAAAATATGCATGCAGACAAAACTACTAACAATCTGAATCACGTAAGCTAATTGCTACTCACAGGTATCTTCCTGTTTTAGTCTCTAAATAAAAGTCTTGATTTAGTTCACCTTTCAAGTGTGTGAAATACATACTAAAGAGATTACTTTAACACTGCTATTAAATGATCTGGCGGGCAAGTTGAGTGTTTTTTCTTTCTTACTTCTTAGCAGTAAACACATTTGTTCGAAAACACAACTCAAACATGAAGGTAAATGATGCATTTTACCCATAAACTACAGGTAGAGAATCTAGATATATCTTTGAGAAGAAAAACAGTTTTCATGGTATTTTTAAAGAGACAGTTGTGTTTCAAGTTACAGTTTTAAAATTCTTCAAAAGAAATTGTTTTACAAACAGTGATTACTTTGGAAATTATAAAAATGGTAATTTCTTCAGGAAAAAACTAAGCACTCTGTATATTAGGAAAACTTGAAAAAATGTCCCATGCTAAGTATTAAGTGACAAATTTGGTGGAAAACACCACATGGAACCTATTATTTACCTCAGTGACTTCTGTGACAAGCACCCCAACTCCAGTGTAGTAAAATGGCAAAAGAATTACAGGGAGGAGAATAAGAGCTAAAATGCCCATAAGTGCAAGAATGAAATTATGCCAGATACCTATAAAAAGAAAAAAGGGAATAAGCAAACCAAGGGCAGGTATGATATGATGTTGGAATTTAAACTTCATAACAATTGCACATTCTGATAAATTACTAAGTGACAAATTGTGAAGCAGGCAAATTTACTTACTAGCTACTGCAGACAAATGTATAGTTAAGTTTCTTTCATTACAAATATTAAACTTAAAACATGAATATGTTAACGCCACACATGGAAGACGAGATAATACAATTTAACTCTAAAAGAATTCGTATCATCAATTACCTGTCATTAATTTCAGAAAATTTGTATTCCATTAATTAAGTGTATGATCTTTTCCGAATAAGAACGATGAGATTGGAAACCTTTTTTGTTCTTGATCTTAAACTTTTCAACTTTTCACTGCTGAGAATGATGTTAGCTATGAGCTTGTTATATGACCTTTATTTTACTGAGGTATACCTAATTTTTTGAGTGTTTTTTTCATGAAAGAATGTTGAATATTTTCTATGTTTTCTATGGCTAGTGAGATGATCATGTGATTGAATGTTTTCTATGGCTAGTGAGATGATCATGTGATTTTTGTCTTTCATTCTATTAATATGTTGTATCATACTGATCGATTTGCCTATGTTAAAGTACCTATGTTAAAATACTTTGGTGGGGATTTTTACATCTATATGCATCAGTGATATTGGTCTGTAGTTTTTGTTTCTCATAGAATCCTACTGTGGCTTTGTTATTAGGGAAACGTAACCTTCATAAAATGAAGTTGAGAGTGATACTGCCTCTTGGAATTTTTTTTTTTTTTTCCCTGAAGAGTTTCAGAAGGACTGGCATTAACTTATCTTTACATTTTTGGTATAATTCACCCATGAAGTTATCTGGTCCTGGGATTTTGTTGGGAGATTTAAGCACTACTTCAATCTCTCTATGATTAGTTTGTTAATATTTCCTATTTCTTCATGACTCAGACTTGATAGGCTGTATGTATTTAGGAATTTATCTATTTTTTAGATTGTCTGATGTGTTCATACACAATTGATCACAGTGGTCTCATTGTTTTGCATCATCAGCTGTAATTTCTCATCTTTCATTTGTAGAATCACTTTATTGCAACTAGACAAAATGCTTAATAACTTTCTAGTGAACTTTCACTGCATTTTAACTTAATCAGAGTCCTCTCTTGCTCCCTCAAATGACAATAGCCTAGAAAAGAACTGTCCACAATTTTATAGTACCAGAGGGAAAAGGACAAACCTTATTCTTTAAAAAATGTGTTAGTTTGTTTTGACCTTTCTGGTGGTTCCACAAAGAGCAGTTCAAAGGGTTATCTTTATATGGCTTAATTGGAGCTTAAATGTCGAGTTTCTGAACCATTGAAACTTGAAATTACCATTGAAAACAACTACTGACAAACTGAAAGCTTGAAAGAAAAGACCAGAGAATGGTCTTGAAAACTCTGTTATTGGGAAAACCATCACACGCTCAGTTCTTGGTACATGACAGAAGGACCTCAAAAGGCCGTATAGCAGCAGTCCTCAACCTTTGTGGCATCAGAGAACAGTTTTGTGGATGACAATTTTCCATGGATTGGAGGATGGTTTGGGGATAATTCAAGTGCATTACATTTATTGTGCACTTGATTTCTATTACTGTTACATTGCAATATATAATGAAATAATTATATAGCTCACGATAATGCAGAATTAGTGGGAGCTCTGAGCTTGTTCTCATGTAACTAGATGGTCCCATCTGGGGTGATGGGAGACAGTGACACCCAAAGTGTGTTGCTTACGTCCAGTCTACTCCGTAATCTTGATTTGTTTCCCGTCACTGTAGAAAACCCTGCTTCACAAAGACAGGATGTTAGAAATGGAAGCAGGCTTTTCAGTGCTTTGTGGCCATCTCAGAATATTCTACCTTGACTCTATTCCAGAATGTATGGAGAGTTGAACTTGTTTCAAGCTTACTTTTAAGGACATTGTCATTTGGGATCTCAGGCAGTTGATCATCTAGCATGGACAAAGTTGATTCACCTGGCTTATTCCCAGATGCGTCACGGATCCATTCCTCCTCAGGTCGGGGGTCTTTTGTGGCTGGGAAGTCACGCTCAGTCTCTTGAAAGCTGAGATACGGGACCACGCACCAGCTGGGAGAAGGAAGGCCTGGCTCAGTCTCTTTCCAAATCTCTGCTAATGTTTGAAACATGTCAAAAATCCCAGTGTTCCCTCGTCGCCCCCATAATTCTAGTTTGGCTTTCAATGCTGCCACTTTATGTGTCAACTTGAACACTGTCGTCGTCCTCCCCCGAAGTGACAGATTGAGTTGGTTAAGCAGGCCAGATATGTCACACAGGCAAGCAAGTTTTGCGACCCGTCACTGAAATGTGCTGCTACCAGTGGTGACTGTTTTTCTAAAATCTCTGGAGTAGCTCTCGTAACTCAGAAACTCTGGCCAGTGACCTGCCCGTAGAAAGCCGTCTCACGTCTGTGTGAGAGAGGACGCGTGTGCTCTGCGTCCATCTCCTCACAGAGCCGCACGGACGGACGTGAGTGAAGGGCGCGTACTCTGGCGTGGTTGATCATTTTAATCACAACCTGCAAAACGTTGTTAAGTTCAGGTGACATTTTTCGGGTAGCCAGCATTTCTCTATGGATGACACAGTAAACAGACTCACATTCAGAAGCGACTCCTTTGACCCAAGTAGTGAAACCAGAAAGCCATCCAGTTATGATGGCAGCTGCTCTGTCCGCGCATATACTGACAAAATAACGAATTCAATCTTCCTGCTATGTAATCATTCAAAGACTTGAATAGCTCTGCTGCTGTAGTGCTGGCTGGCAACAAAAGTGCACATAACATCCTTATGCATGTCCTCTTGAAAAGCAGATTGCACAAAAACTAGAATTGTTGCCTTGTTGTCAACATCGGTAAACTCGTCAAACATAGATCATGTACCATGGTGACTCATTAAAACAACTGTGCCCCAGTATCTTCTGCTATTTCATCACTTCGTCTAGTTATGGTGAGTGCCAAAAGAGGAACACATACCACCTTTTGAACTGTAGCCTCGTAAAAGTTCATGACAAATATTCTTAACAGCAGGATCAACTCTTCATCCATGGTAAAAGGGGTTCTTAGCCTTAGTAATGCGGTTAGCCAATAAGAATGATCTTCTCATTTGATGCAGTGGTGGCCTTCCATAATTGCTTCTGTTCTTCATGTTCATGTTTTTTTTCTTTTGAAAAATTCCAAAGGCTTGCCTTTTAATGGCAGGGTGCTTGACCTCCATGCGGTGAAGCAGTTTTGAAGGTTTCATGACTTTCTTGAATAGCTGGTCACCATATATTATACAGGGCAGGCTTAGAGAATGTGAATCACCTGTTGCAACGAATCTGTGAATTAAGTAGGAGTTCTGGTATTTTATTTTAAATGCTGTTTTCTTTTTGTTGGCAATCTTAGGGTCTTCTGCCATCTCATCATTGGGTCTTTTCCCCTTTCAAAGAAGCTCTCCAGTGACGTTTGTTTTTTACTCATTTTGGCTAGGGTTAGCTTCTGGGCCTATCAGAGAGAGGCACAGATGGAAGTAGTAAATAAAATATTGCATGAGCCACATGCAGACTTAAAGTAAGTGCCGGATGCTGACTTAAAGCCTGCCACAAAGTACACCTGTACAAATGAAGCACATCAACTCACTTGCCACTATAAAGCCTGCCAGCAGATGCAGCTTAACAGTCAGTAGCCCCTCACTGATAGGGTTTTGATGTGAGTCTGCAAGCTATTGATTTACTATGATCTATGTGCAGTCAGACCTCTCTGCCAATGCTCATCTGTGCTTGTAGCCACTACCTGGCACTAGCATCACTGGCTCAGCTCCATGTCAGATCTCGTAGGAGCACACAACATAGATCCCTTGCATGCACAGTTCACAATAGGGTTCGCGCTCCTATGGGAACCTAATACCTGATGATCTGAGGTGGAACCAGGCCATGATGCTAGTGCTGGGGAGTGGCTGCAAATGCAGATGAAGTTTCCCTCACTCACCAGCTGTTTACCTCCTGCTGCACGACTTAATTCCTAACAGGCTGCTAAAAACACCTCTAGCAGTTTTTCAAACTCTGTAAAGGCAGAAAGTAAAAACTAAGGTAGAGATGAAAACTACCTGGCCAAGCATTAAGAGTATTCTTCCAACAAATACAGAAGTCAGTTGCAAAGACTAGGAATTTATTTTTTTTAGTTTCTAAATGTTTAAGAAACTCTCTGTTCAATCAATAGCTGACCAGTGCACCAATGAAAAAGCGACTTTAGTGATATCACACAACAAAGTACATAATATAAAAAGTAGTTCAGGAATGACAGCAATCCAACAATTACAGGAAGCAGCAACAACAAATCTGAGGAGATAAAGGTCTCATTTTCAGAGAAGCCATATTATAATACTCAAAAGATCCACTTTTTAATAAATTTTTATATTGCATGCAAGAAAACAGGATACTATGACCTACCACAAACGGAAAAAAATTTAACAAAACCTCCTTGACAAGAAGCCCTGACATTAAACCTACTTTACAGAGCTTTTACACTGGCAATCTTAAATATAAACAAAAAACTAAAGGAAACAATGACATACCGAAAAAAGAATCAGTAAGCATGATGTCTCACCATGCAAAGAGAATCAATAAATAGTTTCACATTATTAAAAAAAAAAAAAATTCTCATTCTGCAAATTAAAATAATTGAACTGAAAAAATCACTAGAAGGTTGAAGAGCAAATGTGAGAGGGCAGATAGTCAAGAAGCCTGAATGAAAACTGAAATTATCCGAGTGAGAAAAAGAAAAAAGAATGAAAAAAATAAAAAAAATCTAAGGCCTTCCACGGACAATAGCTATCATCCTATATATGGCCAATGAAAGTTCTAAAAAGAGAAATAAAAAAAGTAAAAAAGAAACAGGTAGAGGGGTAGAAAAGAAGAGTTAGGAAGGGAGAGGGAAGAAGGATAGAAAGAAGGAGGGAG